AACTGCTATGTTTATGAATGGGTTAAGCCTTCCCCTATTTCCTCTAGTGGCTGTCTCATTGACAGCCGCTAGAGGCGCTTGCGTGATTCTCACTGTGAAAATCACAGTGTCGCATAGCGAAGGAAAGCATTATGAATGCTCCTATGTGACTGACTGATGCGGCGCGCTGGGGGGGAGGAAGGAAGAGGGAGGATCGGAGGGAGAGCTCCCCGCCCAGCGCTGGAAAAGGTAAGTTTTTACCCCTTTCCCCCTTCCAGAGCCGGGCGGGAGGGGGACCCTGAGGGTGGGGGCACCCTCAGGGCACTATAGTGCCAGGAAAACGAGTATGTTTTCCTGGCACTATAGTGGTCCTTTAAGAGGGGTTATATTTGTGGTATAAGAATTATTGGGTTTAGGCTTAGAATGGGGTTAAATTTATTGCGGTTTGGCCTGCTGACGCTCTAATACAACCATTAGCTCTACATTCATAATAAAAGGTATGTCATCCATCCGTGCCTGATGTTGTCTGAGCCTTCCATTATCTAGGATTTTAGAAAGTTGAAGGACAAGGGGGCAAAGCAATCTGGAGCTACAGACTCTGGAGTTAAACCATGAGCCACCTCCAGGCACCATAACAACTTAATTTAACTAAAGTTATTATGGTGCCCAAACTTGCCCTTTAAATTTGTGACAGAGGAAAGAGTTTGCTTAGGTTTTGGGACAGGTTTAATTAAGTCTAGGGGAAAACAGGTGTCTAGCTTACAGGCTTGTGGAGTTTGAAGAATTTGCAAATTACTCAATCTCCTATAATTGATTGCATAACTACTGGAGCTGTTATACAGTGTGCATCACTCATTGCTGTCTCTCTTCCTTCTGCAAGGCATTTTCTGTGTGATGCTGTCAGTGGGCAGATGGGAAATTACCACTTCTACTTCCTGTCCATTTAGATACACAGACACTGGAGGAGCACTGAGTTTTATACCCTCTATAACTTCCTGCAGCTCTGCTATCAAGCATAGAAGGCTGACTGGACTACAGAGGACACTGGCCAAGGCACACAGCATGGGATGCTGAAGATCTACTCCATCCAATAATAGGCAGCTTTCAGACTGCTGTAGAATTTGAGCTTTCCACAAGTCCTTTGTTTAGTAAATAACCCTTAAAGAGTTAATTTTAGGCTACATACAGACATTCTATATGAGAGGAGCACATGGCAGGATAATCTATATCGGAAGATAGACTTGATCCTAAAAGTAAATATAAATACATACATTTCACGTGCATCAAAGTCACTGATTTCCTGAATGTCAACGTTGAACAAAATATTATGTGCTCAACAAACATCAAAGTCGCAGTGATTAAAATGAAGAGATCAACAAACAATTTTTATTGGATGTGCAGATGGTAAGTGTTTGCATTTAGCAAAGCTTACATTTGGGAATGTTAATTTAAAATAATCATTTGAGTGGCCTGGAAAATCTCAAAAGGTAAAAAATGCAGCTAGAAAAAAAAAATGATTCTAAACTGCACACAGATAGATTCTGAAATAAACAAAGCACAAAAATCAGGTTTATACATTGGTTTACCTGCTGTGGCAAGCTAGTGCAACACTGACCTCTGGTGCTCGAAATTAGAACAACTATTGTTCAGTTTGGAGCACTGTATGTGTGTTTTTAAATCATGACACTTAAAAGCATGGGTGATAATTAATGCATTATATTTTTAATGCATTAAATGCATTTAATGAATTAATGCATTATGTTTTTAAATCATGACACTTAAAAGCATGGGTGATAATTAATGCATTATATTAGCAATGCATTATTTCACTATTAAATATAACATGGAATTTATATGTCATAATTCAGGATATAATAAATGTTGTTTATATGTTCACAGTTATTGTTAATTTATAATGAACTGCACCCCAGACTGACGCCTGCTGGACTTCTCCATGGTAGCCCTTTCCTTATGGAAGGCCTACCCACACCAAATTAGACTCTACTGTCTCTGCAGTCCTTAAAAAAATCCTTTAAAAAAACACTTCTTTCAAGAAGCCTATCAGCTCGCCTCGTAACTCTTTATCCCTGACAATCTTCATCCACTGTTCTCCTTCCTTTCATCCTTTCAGTTATATCCAGATCATCATTCCCTCACTTCCTTCTGTGTATTTGTCCCTCATCCTTTTAGATTGCAAACTCATTTGGGCAGGGCTCTCTTGTTTTGTAGAATTATTTGTCTTATTTTACCTATTGTACAGCCCTGTGAAATGTGTTGGCACTATATATAAATAATTGTTTAATGTGCCTCCATAGTCTGAAGATCTGCTTTTAAAAGGACACTCTAACCATATCATCTCATTCAACTGGTTATAGTGCCGGGAATCCTGATGACCTTCTATTCAACAACATTTGCGCATTTTAACACCCACAGCGTGGACACCCACAGCGTGGCCCCTACTGAAAGTATGGCTAACGCAGAGATGAAAGCAGTCAGCTGACACTCTCAGCCAATCCCAGATGCCTATTGCAGCTCAGGCTGATGCCTCCTCATTGGCTCAAGTAGCACAAAGTGGACGGGCAGCTCTCATTTAACATTATAACATTAAAAAGTGTTTAACCGTATGGTGCCAGGCGACTCTACATACTATACACCAGGGCTGCAAACTACAATTACATGTTTTATGGTAGGGATTTGCCTATAACTTGCTATCTATGCTAATATACTTGCCCCTGCAAGCCTGGAGAGTCTATCACGCACTTACCAGGAGTCAATTTCTAATTGCTGCAACTAAACTTTCCCTTGCCAATGGCAAGTATATATACATATATCGGGACTTGACAAATTTGCTTTGAATCTAGGAGTCAGCTAAAAATGTTAGGAGCCATGTTTTTATTAAACTAGCAAAGTTTTATTTTAAACAACACAAATACAATTATTAAAGGGCATTATAGCCACCAGAACCACTACAGCTTAATGTAGTAGTCCTGGAGTCTATTGACTTTTCAGAGAAAAATATGATGTTGTATTTACAATAGTGAATACAAATACACAAAAATAAATCCTGCTCTCAAACACCCACTACTCCTGGGCAGCAGCCATGACCATAGCACACATCAGCCCCGGTACATACAATAAAAACCAAAGAAAAAAGTTACCTAGGCACTAGCCCAAATCCTTATGCATATTTAAATAAATGGATGTTTTTAATATCACTCCAATGGCCATTAGATGCAAGCCCACCTGCCATGTCAAGGCAAACCTCTTAGGTGGGTCCTACACAAACAATTCACCTGGCTTAATAGGGTTAAGGGTTAATACGTATGTAGGGCTTTAGAAAAATACCCCTCTCTGTCTCATTAGAGACCAATCCAAAAATGATTATTTGAGCCACAAAGGCAGGGCCAGCGACGACGAGTCCGACACAGTGTGGGAAAAACAGGTGAGAAAAAACACCTTTCCCATGTGATTGGAGGTTGGCTGGTTACCTAAACACGCTCACTGATTTGACACGCACTGACACTGACAGACACACATTTTTTTTATACACTCAGAAATTATTGTTATTTTAATTTAAGCTCACTCAGCCTCCCTATCTTTGGGAGAGCTGGAGTAGATCCCTTTACTGGGGTCAACGTGGCTGCTGTAATCCTTAAGCTCTTCTTGCACTGCTCTCTCGCAAGCTATTAAGAGTTGCTGGTGCTGGAGTGACGTCATATCCCAGCTCCTGGCATCATAGCAGGGCGCACAATGGAGCAGAGCAAGAAGAGCTTAAAGTTTAGTCTCTTCGATGCCTGCTTCCATTCTTCCATTGTTGGCCACCTTAGTGGGGGCCTAACGGAGCAACAAACACCCAGGGATTTGTCGAGACCTGCATATATACATACATATTCAGTTGTGCTCAAACGTTTGCATACCCTTGGAGAATTGGAAATATATATATATATATATATATATATATATATACAATAAAAAAACATAAAAAAAAACATGAGTGAGCAGGCAAAACACATTGCTTTTGTTCTTATGGGATTCATATTCAAGAGTAGGTTATAACAGAATGGCACAATCATAAAACAAAACATGCCAACAATGAAAAAAATGAAATGAACCCTGTTCAAAAGTCTGCATATCCTTAGTTTATAATACTGTGCATTGCCCCTTAAGCATCAATAACAATGTTCAGTCTTTCGTAATAGTTGTCTACGAGGCCCCTAATTCTTGCAGGTGGTATAGCTGTCCGTTTGTCTTGGCAAAATGCCTCCAGGTCATGCAAAGTCTTTGGTCGTCTTGCATGAACTGCACGTTTGAGATCTCCCCAGAGTGGCTTGATGATATTAAAAGGTCAGGAGACTGTGATGCCCACTCCAGAACCTTCACCTTTTTCTTCTGTAACCACTGTAGGGTCAACTTGGATTTGTGCTTGGGGTCATTGTCATGCTGGAAAGTCCAAAAGCGTCCCATGAGCAGTCTTCGTGCAGAAGAATGCAAATTGTCTGCCAGTAATTTCTGATAACATGCTGCATTCATCTTGCCATCAATTTTCACAAGCTTCCCTGTGTGTTAGAGCTCACCCCCCCCAAAACATCAGTGAGCCACCACCATGCTTCACAGTGGGTGATGGTATTCTTTTCACCAGGGCCGGACTGGCCCACCGGGATACCGGGAAATTTCCCAGTGGGCCGTCAGCACCTGGGGCCCGGCAGCCAGCTGGCTCACCTGCGGGCACAGAGGGAGCTCCTTTGGCGGCCGCAGGGGGAGCTGGCTATTGTGTCTCTGCTCCCCCTCCCCTGCGCACCGCTTATGACATCATATTCCGGCCCCGGTCTCATTAAGCGGCGCGCAGGGGAGGGGGAGCATAGACACAACAGCCAGCTCCCCCTGCGGCCGCAAGAACAGCCAGCAAACCCTGCGGCCGCCAAAGGAGCTCCCTCTGCGGCCGCCAGAAGAGCTCCCCACAGGTAGAAATTGTGTATGTGTGTGTGTGTGTCTGTGTTGTTTGTGTGTGTGTCTGTCATGGTGTGTGTGTGTGTCTGTCTGTGTCATGGTGTGTGAGTGTCTGTCTCTGTCAGCAATGTGTGTCTGTGTCATTGTTTGTGTCTCTGTGTCATGGTGTGTGTGTCACTGTCTGTCATGGTGTGTGTGTCACTGTCTGTCATGGTGTGTGTGTGTCTGTCTGTGTCATTGTGTGTGTCTCTGTGTCATGGTGTGTGTGTCACTGTCTGTCATGGTGTGTGCGTCTGTCTGTGTCATGCAATGTGTGTCTGTCATGTAATGTGTGTCTGTCTGTGTCACGGTCTGTGTGTGTCATGGTGTGTGTATGTGTTTGTCTGTGTCATGTAATGTGTGTCTGTCTGTCACGGTGTGTGTGTGTCTGTGTCACGGTCTCTCTGTGTCGTGGTGTGTCTGTGTGTCACGGTCTGTCTGTGTCATGGTGTGTGTGTGTGTCTGTCATGTAATGTGTGTCTGTGTCACGGTCTGTGTGTGCCATGGTGTGTGTGTGTGTTTGTCTGTGTCATGTAATATGTGTCTGTCTGTGTCACGGTGTGTGTGTGTCTGTGTCACAGTCTCTCTGTGTCGTGGTGTGTGTGTCTGTGTGTCACGGTCTGTCTGTGTTATGGTGTGTGTGTGTGTCAAGGTGTGTGTGTCTTTTTTAAGGTGTGTGTCTGTCATGGTGTGTGTGTGTGTCTGTCTGTGTCATGGTGTGTCTGTCTGTCATGTGTGTGTGTGTTTCTGTCTGTGTCACGGTCTGTCTGTGTCATGGTGTGTGTCTGTCATGGTATGTGTGTGTGTATGTGTGTTTTTACTCACTTTTTTTTTTTCACGTTCATGCTGGTCTCCCCTCGCCTGGCCCTGCCTCTACGGCTGAGATCATCAAGCTTGATGATCTCAGCCAATCCGCACTGACACAGGAAGCACCTCTAGTGACCGTCTGAGTGTCTGTCACTAGGAAGCAATGTAAACACTGCATTTTCTCTTAAAAGTCAGTGTTTACATTGAAAAGCCTGCAGGGACAGGCTATAGACACCAGTACCACTACATTAAGCTGTGTGTGTGTGCGCGCGCTTGCTTGTGTGTGTGTGTGTGTGTGCCTGCTACTGAGTGAGCTTGTGTTTTTATGTCAATAACCTTATGTATGAGGCTGTGTATCAATCAGCTTGTGTCAGTGAGATTGTCTGTGTATGCATGTGAGTATGCTTACTGTATAATTAAAAATTTTACTCTGAAAGGACCAATATTTTATATTGGAAAAAGATATATATATATATATATATATATATATATATATATATATATATAATATTGCCAGAGATAGCACTCCAAGGACTAATATAAAATATAACTTTTATTACCTCCACTAAAACAACACAAGGTCAACGTTTCAGCTTGATCCCCTCAAGCTTTCGTGCCTGTGATATGATTACTGAACACAATGCTTAATATAATTATCACAGGCAGAGAAATACAGTATTATAAAACATATCACAGGGACCCCAAAACATGCAATAACCCCATAAAACCGGGGGATCTGGGTGAACCACATATCCAAAATTCACCCACATCCGTTCAGTAGTTTGGAAGATAGTTTAATGCAGATTCCGCAGAACATGTACAGGCTATATGAAAAATAATTACTGTTAAATGTGTCCCCTGTTCTATAGTTTAAAACTACTGCACGATGTCTTTGTGCACCAAATACCGGTGAGATGGCACCGTGTAGAAAAGTCCAAACAGTGTCTGTGAGTTAAAATGACCGCCATCCATTGTTCTCACCATGTGCTTCATCCATTGTTCTCACCATGTGCCTCTGATACATGAAATGGTGGCCACCCAGTATGTCCCCAGATGGTTGTTAAAGCAGCAGCATAATAAAATCAAGTATGCCCACATCAGTTCCTAGAAGGGCAATACATCCCAGGGCCATAGTCGCAGGGCAGGAGGCTGGCAAGCAGGCCCCTCCAAAAACCAGTGGCAAGGTTACTTTCGCCACAGCCTTGTTGACCCCTCTCCAATCATAGCGCTTATGGTTGCGACCATAAAGCTCTATTTTGGTCTCATCACTCCAAATTACAGTGTGCCAAAACCTGTGAGGCGTGTCAAGGATATTGTAACCGGGCTTTTTTGTGGCATTGGCTTCTTTCAGCAAATAAACCATGCATCTCATTTTTGCTCAAGTATCGTCATATTGTGCTCCTTGAAACAACCCTCTGTATCCATAACAATTCTTCTGGCAGTTGTGGCTGAAATCTTTCTTGGTCTACCTGACCTTGGTTTGGTATCAAGAGATCCCCAATATTTCCACTTCTTAATAGGTGATTGAATAGTACTGACTGGCATTTTCACGGCTTTGGATATCTTTTTATATCCTTTTCCATCTTTAGAAAGTTCCATTAACTTGTTACGCAGGTCTTTTGACAGTTCTTTTCTGCTCCCCATGGCTCAGTATCTAGCCTGCTCAGCGCATCCAAGAGCTAACAAACTCATTGACTATTTATACACAGACACTAATTGCAATTTAAAAAGCCACAGGTGTGGGAAATTAACCTTTAATTGTCATTTTAACCTGTGTATGTCACCTTGTGTGTCTGTAACAAGGCCAAAAATTCAAGGATATGTAAACTTTTGATCAGGGCCATTTGGGTGATTTCTGTTATCATGATTTAAAAAGGAGCAACGCAACGATGTAATAATAAATGGCTTCATATGATCACTATCCTTCAATAAAAGACATTTTAATAAAAGTCATATTTTCAAAATCATTGCCATAATTTCACAATTTCTTCCAGGGTATGCAAACTTTTGAGCACAACTATACATAGGAATTACATACATTGTAAGGGTGGTGCTGGGGCCAATTAATACAACATACAGAACCCAGTGCACTCACTAATTAAACACCAGTTTCAAAGCTTGCAAAATGTAATCGGTTTTTTTTTTTATAAACAACTGACAAATATAACGGGGATTTGGTTACAGTATATAATCATACACTGCATAAGCCTATAGATACAAAAAATACACAGATAGGATAAGCGCTAACGTGTCAACTGAGTATAGATATGATAGCTGGCAGCAAACACTAATAGTAAGGGTTACCCTCAACCCTATACTGAAATATATAGAGAAAATAATATACACAAAATATATTGCAGAAGCCTATCACTACCCCAATGTACTATTCTAGCAACCTAATGCCTGCTCTTATGAGATTAATCCAATTACTTGGGAAATCCTTCCTCCTGGGACTCTCTTCAGGGCAATGTTAAATAGGGCCCTGGAATGAGGCACATGTGACAGGGAGGGGTGCAAAGCCAAGGGAGTTGGCCTGGACTCACAAAGCTATTTACATATGAAACCGGGGGGGGAAACTATGACATTTTGTGAGCATTAAAGCTGGTGTTTAGTAATTGAGTGAGTGCACTGGATTCTGTAGGTTATATATGTATATGTATTGTGTGATACATAATGGTGAATCATGTGTTAAGAAAAAATATGTCTAGGTGTTTTGGAGACATTTATAAACCACTTAACCTTTGGTCTTGTGATTTATCATGATGGCATTATTTTCTCATAATATATTCTTTGCTGTTATAGATCTTATATTACATACCGATTAGGGTTCATGTTAATGTAAGTTGTTACGACACGTACTGTCGAGTAGATGAAGCCGCCGTTTAGTCAATAATCCCCTTCTCCAGAAATGCAGTTTAAATCCAGCCGACCGCCAAACTCCCGAACGAAGTCCACGAATACGGCAACTCCCGATCAGCAAAACAGTCGAACGCCTTCCACAGCTAAAAATAACGAAAGCGCTGTCCCAGTAATAATTCCCCCACAAACGAGACCAAGCTCCGTCTTGAGGGTCAAATGAAGATCTGTTTAATGGGGGCTACCTGCCCGGTATTTATGCAGGTCTCCACAAGGTGGACACTCCCCGAGGGGACCTTGTGGAAGACTGTAAAACATATTGGACAGTAGCCAATCGCAGTGGCTTCAATAATAGCCCTTCCCATCTTGCCCATAATTCCGTCTTCTCTACCTCGGAGATAATTAGGAAGAAACCTAATTATCTCCCAAGGTAGAGACAATCGCCATTTTAACTTACAATAATAAAAATACATTAAAATACATAACTGCAGAAATACCGAATGCATATAGTTCGTGTAACGTATCCCCAGACAGCCTGGATCTGAGTGCATGTTTTCACCGAATAGCGCTCAGATCTGATGTATCTAGTCGAATCGCCATGGAGTCAAAGTCTTTCACCAGTCCTTCGGTATACGAATGACTCCATGGGATGGCTGTCTGGGTGAAAGTCCATACGAATGAATAAAAACTCCCGAACGACCGACGTTCGCATGCCTTGTCGAAATGGAAGGTAGGCAGCAGCTTCCAGCGGTGTTCGGTAGTTTAAGTGTCCGTTTTTAGTTCCATACAGTTTGTACCGAACACCGCTATGTGTTCGTATGTCCCAAAATGGCCGCTGCCTCGTGGTCGACATGCGAACGACGACCACCCGTACGAATGGAATGGAGAGGTGTCTGCGGTTAACCACAACGTTCTAATTGGGGCCAAGAGGTTAACCAGCAGCACACTCCTCTCCTGGGTGGTCGTTCGTTCGGTAGTTTCAATCGGTAGTTTGCAAATTACACGAACGGGGTTATATGAACAGGCAATTCAGCGAACAAAGGGAAACAGACGAACCAGCAATACAGATGAATCTGTCACACGGCTCCCCCCCTTGTGGGACACTCCGGCAGACCCGGCTTGACCCTTTAGCGGGTCAACGTGGGGATGACCGGACTAAGATGGGGTGAGGATGTCGGTTTGCCTGGACAATCCATCTGCATTCCCATTCTGCTTACCGGGTCGATAACTGATGGTGAAGTTATATGGTTGTAGTGCTAAACTCCACCTCAGCAGTCTGCCATTGTTTCCTGAGACCCGGTTAAGCCAGACAAGGGGATTGTGGTCCGTCACCAGGGAAAATTCCTGTCCATATAAATACGGGCTTAACTTTTTCAATGCCCACACCAGGGCCAAACACTCCTTCTCCACTGCCGCATAACTCACTTCTCTGGGTAACAGCTTTCTGCTGAGATATGCGACAGGGTGCTCTCCTCCATCTTCCCCGACCTGGCTCAGCACAGCCCCCAGTCCATACATGGAAGCATCTGTATGGACGAGAAAACGTTTGTTAGGGACTGGGGCAGCCAGGACAGGGGCATTCACAAGAGCTTGTTTGAGTGCTTGGAACGCAGCTTCACAAGCTGGAGACCACAGGACCTGCTTAGGAAGATTTTTCTTTGTCAGGTCAGTCAGGGGTTTAGCAATAGTGCTGTAGTCGGGGACAAAGCGTCTATAGTACCCTGCTGTCCCTAGGAAGGCTAACACCTGGGTCTTGGTGATAGGTGTGGGCCAGTTAGCAACTGCCTCTATCTTGGCTGGCTCTGGCCTCTGGCTCCCACACCCTACTCTGTGACCCAGGTACTGCACTTCAGCCATGCCTAAATGGCACTTCTCTGGCTTCAATGTCAGGCCAGCGGCCCGAATCTTGTCCAGTACTACCCCTACATGTACTAGGTGTTCTTCCCAGGACTCACTGTAGATCGCAATGTCATCCAGGTATGCACAAGCAAATTCCTGGAATCCATCAAGAAGTCTATCCACCATACGCTGGAAGGTAGCCGGGGCATTCTTCATCCCAAATGGCATGACCTTAAATTGGTACAGGCCAAATGGGGTGACGAAGGCCGACTTGGGGATAGCATCCTCGGCCAGGGGAATCTGCCAGTAGCCTTTGCACAGGTCTATGGTGGTCAGATAGCGTCCCCTGGCAATGCGATCTAACAATTCATCTACCCGGGGCATCGGGTAGGCGTCAGTGGTGGTCCGCTCATTGAGACGCCTGTGGTCCACACAGAACCGGGTGGTCCCATCCTTCTTGGGCACCAGGACTACAGGCGAGGCCCAAGGGCTATCGGAGTGTTCGATGACCCCCAGCTGGGTCATCTCCTGTATCTCCTTCCGCATTCCTTCCCGGACTGCTTCAGGGATACGGTAAGGGGGTTGTCGCAGGGGGTTCTGTCCAGGGGTTTCTACCTTGTGTACAGCTAGGGTAGTGTAACCAGGTTCTTGGGAGAAGGTCGCCTGCTTTTCCCACAGAAGCTGTCTTGCCTGGCCCTTCTCGGTAGAGCTCAATCTGTCCCCTAGCTGTACTAGGCTAGTAAGATCCGTCTGGGGGTCCCTCTCTAACAGGTCTGGCAAGGGTAAACTTTCTGTATCATCTGCAGCAGGGGCACATACTGCAGCGACATTCTCTGGTCTCTCTTGATACTCCTTTAGCATGTTCACATGGAAGGATCGCTGGATCCTTTCATCTGAACAGCTGGCTATAAGGTAGGTAGTATCGCATATCTGTGCTAACACCTTATACGGGCCCTGCCAAGATGCCTGCATCTTGTTCGCCTTCACAGGTTTGAGTACTAACACTTTCTGTCCAACCTGGAAGACTCGCTGTCGGGCACCCCGATCGTACCACCTCTTCTGTCTCCCCTGAGCCACCTGGAGATTCTCCCATACCATTAGGGACAGTTTCTCCATGCAGTCCCGGAGTTCCAGAACATATGGTACTATGGGGGTCCCTTCCTGCTCTGTCTCCCCCTCCCAGTGGCCTCTAATGAGATCTAGGGGTCCGCGGTCCCTTCTCCCATATAGCAACTCAAAGGGGGAGAACCCAGTAGATTCCTGAGGCACCTCTCTGTAGGCAAACAACAGATGAGGCAGGAATCGCTCCCAGTCTCTGCAAGTGTCAGAAAAGGTCCTCAGCATCTGTTTGAGGGTACCATTAAATCGCTCGCAGAGACCGTTAGTCTGTGGATGGTAAGGTGAGCTAAGCAGCGGTTTAATACCGCACACCTTCCACAGTTGCTGGGTGAGCACAGCGGTGAATTGGGTTCCCTGGTCAGAGAGAATCTCTTGAGGGAACCCGACTCTGGTAAAAATCCTAACCAGGGCATCAGCAACTGTCTCTGCCTCTATATTAGACAGCGCTACTGCCTCTGGATAGCGAGTGGCATAATCCACCACGGTGAGAATATATTTCTTACCGGATGGACTAGCCCTGGCCAGTGGACCCACAATGTCAACGGCTATGCGGGCAAAGGGCTCCCCAATGATAGGCATAGACATAAGCCTAGCTCTTGGGTGGTCCCCCCGCTTTCCTACCCGTTGACATGTGTCACACGTACTGCAGTATGTCCGAACAGCCTGATTAAAGTTTGGCCAAAAAAAGTTCTGCATGATCCTATAGGCTGTGCGGCGGGAACCTAGATGTCCAGCTAGGGGAACATCATGCCCTATCCGCAGAATCTCCTGCCGGTATTTTGCGGGCACCACCAGCTGTCGATTCGGCGGAGGGGCAACACTCTTCGGGGAAAGCTTGGGGATCCTATACAACCTGTCCCCCACCCACTCATACCGTTCCCCATCTAATCCTTCCTCTCCAGTATCTGCTCTGTCCCTATACTTCTGGAGGGTCGAATCTGTCTGAGTTTCCCTCCCAAACTCCTCTGGGGAATCCCAGCTAATAAAAGTCTGTTCTAGGGTACCAGTCGGGGACTCGGTTCTTACCTGGGTCTCAGCAGCAGGTGGGCTGGTTCCAGCAGCACGGGTCTGGGCACGGGTAGTCACTGGGTTGATAGCGGCAGGTCCCATTGGAGCATAAGCGGACACCAAAGGGGCCAAGTCATTCCCAAGCAAAACATCGGCCGGTAAGTCTTTCATGACCCCCACATTCACGTGTCCAGAGCCCACCCCCCAATCCAAGTGAACCCGGGCAACCGGTAAACGGAACACTGCACCTCCCGCCACCCTCACTGCCACAGTATCTCCAGTGTGTTGGTGTTCGGAAACAAGGTTCTTTTGGAGCAAAGTCATAGTGGCTCCGGTGTCTCTCAGACCAGTTACTGCTTTGCCATTTAGTTTAACGGTCTGCCTGTGCTGTTGACGGTTATCCTGCTGCGCTGCTTGTACTGGATCCGCCTCATGTAGTATACCCCCAAATTCCTCCTGCTCAAGACAGTGAGCGGAAGGTTGGGGTGGCTGCTGATTCCCGCCGGCTGGTCTTCTCCACGACTGGGCTTGGCTGGAATTGTTCAATGGGCACTCGGGTCGCTTGTGCCCCAACTGCTTACACCCATAGCAACGGATAGGCTGTGAGTAATCTCGGGCGTTGAACCGGGCTGGCTGAACATAATTGTTTGCTGTTGGCATGGTGGGGGTGCGTTGTGCTGGGCGTTGATACACTGCAGAGGTTGGAGGGGCTGCTGGTTTGTACTCCACTCGGGTAGGGACCTTGGCTGCTGTCTGGTCCAGTTTCCTGGCGTCAGTGTACTCATCAGCCAGACGAGCAGCTTCGGGTAAGGTAGCGGGTTTGCAGTCCCTAACCCACTCTCTGACTCCTGCAGGTAAGCGGTCAAAACAGTGCTCCAACAAAAATACTTGCAGCACTTCTTCCCCAGTTACCGCTTGGCACCCTGCCATCCAGTGGGCTGCGGTGCGGTGTACTCGGCATGCCCACTCAACATAAGAATCACCAGCCTGCTTGTTAGTGTCCCGGAATCGCCGCCGGTATGCCTCAGCGGTCACAGCGTATCTGGCCAAAAGGGCATCTTTCACTGCCCTGTAGCTGGTAAGTTCCTCCTCTGGGATGGCCCGAAACGCCTCACTGGCCCGGCCGGATAACTTCCCAGAGATGATGGGGATCCATTCTCCTGCGGGTACCTGGTGTAAGGCACATTGCCTTTCAAAATCAGCCAGGAACCCATCAATTTCTCCTTCGGCTTCTACAAAGTTCCGAAATGCAGCAAAAGGTACTTTTCTCCTTCCATTATTATTGTACGGTACCTCAGCTGCTGCAGCGCCTCTTCCTTGAAGCGCCTGTTGTGCTGCTACTGCTGCTTGCACTTGCACCACAATATCTGCTGCGGGATTGGGGCCAAAATGTGCCAGCCTGATCTGAACTGCCCGGTTAAACTGTATCTCCTCGGGTGTTAACTCCAGTATGCCAGGCACATCAGCTCTTCCCGTTCCCTGTGCTGCATCCATTTCCAATAGTATAGCAATAATCTCTCTTTTCTTGAGATTACTCGCTGATCGTCCTCTGCATTCTAATATATCTTTAAGGGTAGCACGCCTTAACTCTTCATACTGCATTTCCAACCTGGGATGTGTAGCTGGCCTTCTGGGCTGTAGGATTCATCCCGTCGCTTGCCACCAATTGTTACGACACGTACCGTCGGGTAGATGAAGCCGCCGTTTAGTCAATAATCCCCTTCTCCAGAAATGCAGTTTAAATCCAGCCGACCGCCAAACTCCCGAACGAAGTCCACGAACACGGCAACTCCCGATCAGCAAAACAGTCGAACGCCTTCCACAGCTAAAAATAATGAAAGCGCTGTCCCAGTAATAATTCCCCCCACAAACGAGACCAAGCTCCGTCTTGAGGGTCAAATGAAGATCTGTTTAATGGGGGCTACCTGCCCGGTATTTATGCAGGTCTCCACAAGGTGGACACTCCCCGAGGGGACCTTGTGGAAGACTGTAAAACATATTGGACAGTAGCCAATCGCAGTGGCTTCAATAATAGCCCTTCCCATCTTGCCCATAATTCCGTCTTCTCTACCTCGGAGATAATTAGGAAGAAACCTAATTATCTCCCAAGGTAGAGACAATCGCCATTTTAACTTACAATAATAAAAATACATTAAAATACATAACTGCAGAAATACCGAATGCATATAGTTCGTGTAACGTATCCCCAGACAGCCTGGATCTGAGTGCATGTTTTCACCGAATAGCGCTCAGATCTGATGTATCTAGTCGAATCGCCATGGAGTCAAAGTCTTTCACCAGTCCTTCGGTATACGAATGACTCCATGGGATGGCTGTCTGGGTGAAAGTCCATACGAATGAATAAAAACTCCCGAACGACCGACGTTCGCATGCCTTGTCGAAATGGAAGGTAGGCAGCAGCTTCCAGCGGTGTTCGGTAGTTTAAGTGTCCGTTTTTAGTTCCATACAGTTTGTACCGAACACCGCTATGCGTTCGTATGTCCCAAAATGGCCGCTGCCTCGTGGTCGACATGCGAACGACGACCACCCGTACGAATGGAATGGAGAGGTGTCTGCGGTTAACCACAACGTTCTAATTGGGGCCAAGAGGTTAACCAGCAGCACACTCCTCTCCTGGGTGGTCGTTCGTTCGGTAGTTTCAATTGGTAGTTTGCAAATTACACGAACGGGGTTATATGAACAGGCAATTCAGCGAACAAAGGGAAACAGACGAACCAGCAATACAGATGAATCTGTCACATAAGTGTTAAAGAGAAACTGTCACTTTCAGAAAAGTGACTTCATCACTATACATGCCAGAGAAATTACGCATGTGCACAGGTGGGGTCAGAGTCAACACCATTCATACAGAAATGCAAAAATAACTGCACACAGTGGGTGTATTGACACTTCAGGAAACCACTTTTACTAAGCATGTGTGAATTCAGGTGTATCCCCAACACCTTTAAAGTGTACAAATATATATCAAACAATAGTAGTTGAAAACAATTAGTTACACACACCATCCAGTGGGTATAAAAATGTTCTTCTCTAAAAATGGAATGTAGAATTTCCAGATAAAAATATTGGAGTTGACAACAACAGGAATCTGTAATGAAAACAATACAAATACACATAGTGTAATCTGTTTAACATATATATGACTAATTAATAATATGAATAAAACTCACAAAAATAGAAGAGTGCCAGGCTCTATATAATGGGCTTTAAGGTGCCACTACTGGCTTTGAATATACATCAGCCGGTAGAGTAAGATGATTCTTCAAAGTATTTTATTGTTTAAAAAGTAAAGCATATTAAAAAAAAAAAAACAGAAAATAAAGAACTATTTAAAGCGGCACTGTCATGCCGAAACCCGTTTTTTTTTTTAACCCCCCTCCCGCCTCCACTACATCCAATTGACCCACTAGTCACCCCCAAATGCCCCTAAGCCCCCCACATTACCTATTTTTTAATCCTTATTTTCTGCCCCGATCTATATCCAGGGCGCCGCCATCTTTGTGTGGGTAGGTGAAGTCCCTGTGGGACACGTCATCAGCCCACACTAGACAGACTGTGAGATTCCCGCACATGCCCAGTGAAACACCTGGACATTCGAACGGGAATTTCATCTATTCACTCATTCATCAGACAGACGAATGAGTGAATAGAAAGATCAGCCGAACAAACAAACACAATGTATCAGTGTATCTGAGAATCAGTGTATGTTTGTTCGTGCAGTTTATTACAAGGAGGGAGCTACCGGCGTGCAGCTCCCTCCTTGTAATATGTAACTATAGAAGTGGCAGGGAGCAGTGCTCCCCACCACTTCATAAGCCCCCCAGTACCCCCTCTCACTCTATGGGGGTCAATATGACCCCCATAATAGCACAAGAGAGATTTAAATCTCCCAAATGCCCCTACTCACTATACCGCGAGTAGGGGCATGTCTACTAAACAGTGAGCAGCCTGTGGCTGCTCACTGTTGAAAAAAAAAGACGTAAATTACAATAAGGGGGGGGCGGACCTATTGTCCT